TCTAGATTTTATTATTGTTATCATTACAGCTTCGTTGCTTGGATCTCACACAGGATGTCTTACTTTCCTCCTTCCCTTGTGTAAACAGAAGAAAACTTCTGTGAAGTTGCAGCTTAGCAGTATTAAACACTTTCAGATTCTCAGCTAAAGTAGTACTAGAAAGATAATTATTAAGATTAAGCCACTTGAACAAACAGAGCCTGACTAATCACAGTGGGTCTTTCCTGTGAGCTCTTTACATGAGATCTGTGAAAAGGATTGATTAGAGGCTTGATAAATAATTTTCTGCTGACTGGCTTCTCGGTGCAATGCAATAACAGTGGCTTATGCCTGAAAATTACTCCAATGTTCAGCCTACTGGACTCTGGTCTGGCAGCTAATTAGTGTGCTCAGCAGCAAAACGTTGTGAGGTCCCAAGGGAAAATTCAGAAAAGAGTCCCAAGTGGGCCAAATGAATTGCCTTTGGCCAGGTAAGAGACTCAGATTTAGCGTCTCTTGGGAACTGTGAATTGTTTCTAGACTTCACCTTCTCCTTTTTGCAGTCAGGACTGAGGAAGTGGCTAATCATTGACTCTGTGACCCTGAAGTTAGTTTGCAGGGGGCTGAAACACTTAATCCTCTGTGTTCCCTGTGGCTTGTGTCCAGGATGTCATCACCTTGCCATACCTCTGCCTTGCTGCTGGTCTTTATGGCCCTGGCTGTAGCGGGGGCTGAGCAGTCTGAAGAGAGGAGCTGTGATGTGATTGGTGATGAAAGCAGTGAGTCACAAATGGAAAGAGCCCTGCTGAAGAAACTGGAGCCCCTGAGCCACATGAGGTACAGTACAACACCCTGCAGGCCTCGAGGCTGTGCAGTGCCAGCCCTTGGGCCAGGAGGAGGGGAAGATTTGGGGTAGGACTGCAAAATGGGCTCCCCCATCTCTATGGACTCTGACTTTGGCAGGTCTGAAGTGCCTGCTGCTCTGAGAATTGTTCTTTGTAATCCGATGGGCTGTCTGTTCTGTCCTTTCCCTGCTGCAGGTTTAATGTGACTGTGGAGAAAGGCAAAACGGAAAACTACGTCTACCAATTCAGGGTGTGCAGGGAGGTCAACAGCACCTCTCATGATTATGGTGGCCTGGTGCAAACAGATAGACAGAACGGAAAGACCACAGTGATAGGAAGAATCAATGAAACCCAGGTCTTCAATGGAAGTAAGATTCCACTCCACACTTTTCTTACTCAGCAGCTGCCTTTTGCCTCCTGATCTGGATTTGCAGCCTGTATGTTTCTCTCCTGGCAGGTGACTGGATCATGCTGATTTATAAAGGAGGTGATTCATATGGCAGTCACTGCAGTGGTGAGAAGAGACGAGCTGTGATAATGATTTCTTGCAAGCGAGGAGTTACGGCGGTGAGTGACATATGAGGTGGGAGAGGATCAGGAGGCTGCCAGACGAGTAGTTGTTTGTAAGCAGAAGGGCTTTGAGGGGCCAGCAAGGTGTCCTCTAGTATCTGTTGCCTAGCTGCACCAGCAATGATAAAACTGTCTCCTGGTGAAGTTCAATGTGCCTGGGCATGCTTTCACATGACTTAACTTTTCCAAATTACAGAGTTCATTCAGCATTATTTCTGAAGAGCGGGAAAAGGAGCAGGAATGTTTCTACCTCTTTGAGATGGACAGCAGTGTGGCTTGTCCAGCTGAGAATTCCCACCTCAGCGTTGGCTCCATTCTACTGATCACGTGAGTCATTGGAAGAGCTGTTTGTGCCTAGGCCATAATCTCCAGTGCTATTTAGAAACCTCACAAATGCTATAGTAGACTAGCTAATTGTAGTATACCTACCCACAACCACCATTAGATGTTACTATGCCTCTGAGCTTTTTGGACAAAAGCTCTTGCTCTAAGCATGATGCAGGGCTGCTCTGTTCCCTGTAAAGAGTCTCCTTCATAGCTTACAGACAAATGCACTTAAACATGGAGATACGACTTCCTAAAAATGTATAATGGCTCTTTGCTAGAGCTCTGAATGCAGACTAGGAGTCTTGACTCGTTTTCTGTGTTTGTGCTTAGAGGCACTGCTTCACATAATGCTGCTAAAAGATTTATACTATCAAATCGATAATTTGGGGACCTTAGCTCTGCTCTTGAGTGGTGCTCAGATACTTGCTCTAATGCCAATATGAGGCAGGTAGCTGGGTTGAAATAGATTGTCTATAGGATTTCTTCAGCTTTGATTTATTTATTTATTTATTTTAATTCTGCATTCCAGGTTTGCCTCACTGATTGCAGTCTACATCATTGGTGGGTTCCTGTACCAGCGCCTTGTAGTGGGAGCAAAGGGCATGGAGCAGTTTCCTCACTTTGCCTTCTGGCAAGATCTGGGCAATTTGGTGGCGGTGAGTGAAAATCCCTATATATTCCCAGCCTGGCACCTGTATTAGGAGAAAATGGCAGACTATGTCTCTTGGGTAGACCTACTGCCAGAGTGATGTACTTTGAAGCAGAAGAAGAAGATATCTGTTTCATTTTTCTTGAGTATTCTGTTTTTGAATCCTTGCCAAGACCAATTCCCTGCCACTATCCTGCAACTGCTACATAACTGGAACACATACTTTTTAGGGATTAATGCTTTCCAGAGAGAAATGTTCACCTGGGGACTGTGAAATACTCATGTCCGACCTCCCTGAAACCCTCCCTTGGTCATTATAGGCAGTGCCATTTATCCCTCGTGCTTGCCTTGGCCTGATGTTGCTGCACACTGTTAATCAATATGCCCAGAGCTTTCATGACTGAGTAGGATGTTTTTATGTCAAGACAAGTTTTGGGGACATGTCTTAGGTAGCACAGCGATAGGCATAATCCCTTAGCAAAAGAGAAGTCGCAGGAGCTGCTTTGCTTTGGATGCTGAGTCAGTTGCAGAGTCTGATGCTGGTGCCATGTCCTGTGCTTGTAGGACGGCTGTGACTTTGTGTGCCGATCCAAGCCTCGAAACGCGCCAGCCGCGTACCGTGGTGTGGGGGATGACCAGCTGGGCGAGGAGTCAGAAGAACGGGATGACCACTTGCTACCAATGTGATAGGCTTTCCACACCGAGTTCTTTTCTCCCCATCTTCCCAGTGCTTGTTTAGCCGGGTGCCTCCCAGCCAGTTCTCCTTCTCTCACTTCTGATTTTCTTTACACTGCTTCTGCCGTCTCCGGTGTGTTGAGTCCCATGGATGCCTCTGGACGTGAACAGCACTGGTCCCTGATGGTGTGTCTTACAAATATAATGCTGGTTTAGGTTTTTAAAAATGCAGCAAAGCTGGGGTAGAAGTGCTGAGAGTTGAGTAAAGACAACAAGAAAGCAATATGAGTTTTCAGCACTGAGCAGGAATGGGAGATGAATCACTGAGAGGAAAAAAGGGCCATGGATGGGTGCAGAAAGGGGAAGGAAAAAAGGCCATGTGCTAAAACAGCTGACACTGTAAAAGGCATATTTTGTCTTTTTTTCTTTTTTTTCCCTAGGGTTTACACTGGAATTATTTTTCTTTGAATGCATTTTCAGCTTTTCTAGCTTCTGCACTGTTACACAGTTTCTGCTGGCATAACTGGCACAGAGTGCTCTATGCCAGACTCTGGGGGCGGAAGAGGCATTAGCACCTGTGCAGTCTTTTGTTTTACTAATGGCAAAGTATTGAGAAGTATGCACTGGTTTCCTTCAACAGCTGTAAAGGGATGCATGCCAGCCTCTCAGACTGGAGAGGGACAATGCTAAAAAGATATAGGAGTTAAATATAGTCTCATGACTTCAGTTCAGTCAAAATATTGTCTCTGTCTTCTCAATCATTGAGAAGCAAAAGGAAACGATGTGCTGCTAAGGAAAAGGAACTGAACTGACATTAAGACAAAATGAGACAGGTAGCTGCCATTTGAGTTCTGATACGAGCTTCCCAAGGTGACTGCCCACACAGCACAGTCACTGTCAGCATTGTGATTTCATGCTTGCCAGAAGTTCCTTGTTTGGCAGAGGGTTTTCCTGTGAAGCTATCAGAATTTATTTTTATATAATAGGAACCACGGAAGCCCAGGATAAGAATGGTAACACATTGAAAACTGCATAAGGGACTCTTGCACTTACTTGGTCAACTTTCATAAATTACTGTCCCCTTAAGCATGGTGCAGGCCAGTCTTAATACACTTGCCCTGTGCAGATGGTACTTACATGCTGCCAATGTCTGGGAGTGAGAGATCTTCTCTTGGGGCCCTGGTGAAAAGCAGGTACAGCTGAGGTTTAGACTTACGGGGAACCTTCTGGAACTTGGCACCTTGATTCTTAATTGCTTTTTATTTGAGAGGCTACACTCTGAGCAATCCCCTTCTACCCTGTTGTGGACTGGCAGGAGAACTGCCCTCAGTCTTGAGGGCAGAGACTGTGAATAAGCAAGCCACTACTGTTAACAGCAGAGTACAGACAAGATTCATGTATTTTTAATGCTGTCTGAACAACGACATTGAGAGAAAAGGGGTAGCCCTGCTTTTTTGCTGGGTTTAGAGTGGGCAAACAATTCCTGCTTTCTTTGACTTTTGTTACAGTCTCAGTCTTTCTCATAACATGGGAAAAATAGGAAGTCTGTTGTAACTGTTTTTCATGGTGGTGTTTAAGGTAATTTTTTTTGTACAAAACACAACTTTCAAAAATAAAGTGACCAAAAAACCTTATGAAGTGTTGTGCTGATGTAACAGGAGCTTGCTTTGGTGCCAAAGTATCTTTCTTACCCAAGGCTGAAAGGTGGTGCCTTGTGCCTGAACTACTCTTGCCAATAATGAATCCATTTATGTTAGTTCATGGTTTTTGCTGCCACATTGTTTCACTCCAGTTCCCCTAGGGCTTAAGAGGGAAAGCTATGCACATCTTTCAAAACTTTCAAAACTTTAAAAGCTCAGGTAGTTATGGATGGATGGGTTATGTTCTGTATTCTTCTGCAGCAACAAAAATCAAAAGTAGCTTTGTGATGAAGGTTGTACTTCTCAAAGACTCGGTTAATGTTCAGGTTCAGGAGGGGGATTAAAAAGCAGCCAGACGTGCAAAGCCTGATCAAGCATCCTTTTATTAAGAACAGTGAACATGAAATGAAGAAGGGAAGCCTTCCCATTTGACTGAAATAAAATCCAGTCCTCAGAAGTAGCTAGTAACACTGGCAGGCTAGCTGTCTGCCCACCCTGCCAAGGGTCAAACTGAACAGGAGTTCTATCACACCCAGCCTGCTAAGGATAAAATGGTTTAAGGGCACACTTCCTCTGCTGATTGCTGATTCTAACCTCCTCCTTCCCTGCCCCCAGATTACATTGGACCAAATAGTGTTATCAGGGTGCAAGCAAGCATAGGCAACTTTCTTTGGGCCTATTTTCATTCATGAAGCCGCAGAAGTCTTCTCTCCCAAGAACAAGGATGTAATGAAAGAGATCCAACAGTATAGTTAAAAATGCAAGGAAGCTGCTGCCACATTTTATCCATCTACTAGCACTTTCCTTCCTCTCTTTTTCTAAGAGGGGTCAATAAAGAGGCCATTCCAAAGATCTCTAATGTTTTCCTACCTATGCTATTAGGCCTTCTCCCATGTCACTACAGCTTTTCTGCAACAGTAGATGCTTTCCACACAGAACAGTCTTATGTTTCACTCAAATACTCATGTGAAACTTCTAAAAACAGAAAAGCCAAGACACATGGTTTATAACACCATCTTGCTTTCAGGTATTTGGCTGTAGAGGGCACTTACCTCTTCATAGTTTGTGTAATTCCTTCAGGTTTTTTGCCTGTTTGTTTGAAGCAGAGGTGCTTCTGGAAGAGAACTCTGCCCAGATTTTCACCTTTGGCAATTTGGTTACAAAACTTCAGAATACCACATATAAAAAAAAGCCAAAACCCAAACCTGGAGGGGCTGAACAGGAGGAACTCGGTCTATAACATAACTTCTACCCTTCAGAAATGAGAAGTAACATTAAACAATTAGTATTCAGTTGTTGTGGGGTGTGTTCAGTTTTTTAACTGAGGAAGAGAAATATTTGTTTTATAATACCAAAAAAAAAAGAGCCTTAGGCAGGCAGTACAGTCCTGCCAGCTTAAACTTTGTCCCATAAGCTCTCCTGAGGATAATAAAGACAGACAAAAGAATACAAACTGGTAAGAAAACACGCACACAAAAAAACCCCAAACAAACAAAAAAAAAACCCAGCCTATTTCACAAAGAGCCTTGGTGCTTCTGGAGACTCCTTTGGATCTGTAAATTATGCCCTAGCACAATGGGAAGACAAACCTAGTGCTGCAAGGTTCCCTAATATTAGACAATCTCCCTCCCTTTTGATTTTCCCATCACTTTGTCATGAGCACTCAGGAAAAATCCTCTGACTGGTTCTGAGAGAAGCACCTGGAGTGAACAGCTGCCACAACACTTTAGCTTTACTGTCTCCTGTAGACATGCAGAGTGAAGACACGACAGCTCCTATTGCCACAGGCCTTCAAGTTTGGTATGTGTGCTGGAATGGCTATTAAACCCAGTTCATGAGCAGCCTAGGTATTTTTAAAAGTGGAAAAGCAGCAGCCCCTTTTGCTCAAATTCTTCTTTGTCCACCTTTGTCACTCAAAATTTTCTAGTTACCTTTCATGAAACCCCAAGCACAGGTGCTCCCAATGTCCATGTGGGGCCAGCTCTTATGCCTCAAGTTCTGGCAGTGATATTCAAAACTAATATCTATCAGACCTGCCACGGCAAACACAGATGAGGGCAGTTCCCTTTCAGAAGTCTTTTAAGACAGAAAGAGATCCCCTTCACAGCTTTATGTGGTATATAGGGGAGTCATATTCAAAATAAGTAAGAAGGGAAGTTGTTTAAAGGCCCCAGGTGGCAGTTCTCCCCAACCTCGTAGCACCATTAAGAGAGCGAGACATGGGCTTGTGCATGGCAGTTTCAATCAGTTAAATTCCTTCTCATTCTTCTTGAATGCAAGACCACAGGGGACTGTTCCATTCTTCCCCGCCCCAGCAGGATGCTCCAAAACTGGCAGCTGCCCTGGGCTCAGAGCAAACGTGAGACTTCTGGCTTCAGAGCTGTTAGGTCTCCTTGAGGACATTGATCTTGGCACAGATCTTGAGAGCTGGTCCCAGCTTGATGTTCATGGCACTCATGAGATGTTCCTCCTTTAGAAGCAACAGGGCCTGACCATCAATTTCCTGTGCCCGAAACTCCTCAGCAATCTCCTGGCACCCTGTGAAACAAACAAACAAAAAAAGAGTAGTGAGAAACATACATGCCTTGGGCACTCCCCTGCACCTACTCTCTGCACCTCTGGCAGGTACAGAAAAGCAAGCTAGGAATCTAACCAACCCCCCTCCCCACTGTAGTCCTCAGTCTCCCTGAGCACACAGGATACTTAAGAAATGCATCTTGAGAATCCATCTGTATGACTTGCTCTAATTCAGAAACATGCAAGAGCACTAGGCACCACTGACACTATTTTCTTTCCAGAAAGTGAGCCAACAGATCTCCCCATGCTACTGAATCACAGGAGTGCAGGAGAGGATCTTAACTTCACCTTGCAGTGATGCAATGAACTCGTACACTTCCTCCACACTCCAACGACTAGGATTGCTGGACAGGAAGACTGGGTTGATGCCATGTAGATCTGGGGTAGGTGGGGCCATACTAGAGTTTGCCAGGTCCCTCTCTCCATGACTGGCCCTTACTGACAGGGGTCCTGGAGATGTAGGGGATAAGGCTTCATCATAGCTGGAGTTATCAGAGCCTCGACTCGAATCTTCCTGACCCTACAAGCCCATAGGAAAGAAAACAAAAGGTGTTTCGTAAGAAATTCAAAATTACTAGCTGCAAAATAAGACACTGGGACAAGCAGAAGTTGTCCCAATAGTCTGGAACAACTGTCTCAGGCTGTTGGTCCACAGGCAGCTGACCCAAGAGCTCCCTCTCTTCCTCACATCAGCAGTGAAGCTCATTCAATTCTTCTGTAATCTGATTTAAGTCATTCATGTGGATTGTTTTCTACCAAGGCTGTCAGCTGATCTCACTCACTGAGACCTTCGAAACACACACGGGAGCAAACACAGAGTGAACAGAACAAGTACAAACACGAATCCACTTTCTGCAGTCAATGAATGATTGGAACAGCTCACTGTGCCTTGTGTAACAAGTGTGTCAATGTGCACTCAGCACATTCTGTATGACTACATCCACTGTGACAAAGTGGTACATCCAGCAATGACAAATTTTACACAGACCTGCCCTGACAGGACAATGTCCTTACCCTGTGGCGTTTGCCCTGGATCTTTGTTCGAGCAATTTCGGAGCTGCTGCGCCGTGGCCCCCGTCGGCGCACACGAGCATAGTTAGCTTCCTGGAATTCCTTCATTTTCTTTCTCTGCAGCCGAAACTGATGGCTGCAGCTGACATTGTACCTCAAATAAGCAGAAGCAGAGCAGCAGTTAAGAAACAGCAACTATCTAAGCCTAATACTTCTCCTTGCTCTAGATGGGGATAAAACTCCTCTTTACCATCAAGTTCTGTTCCTCCTCCTTTTAAGACTTCCCCTTGGAAGGAACCAGTCCAGACTTCTGACACAAGCAATATTTGGACACCAGAGTCTTGATCTAACATCTGAAGGGTCAATTAAGTCATTCCCCTAAGGGAAAAAAGACCCATAACAAGCACTCTGCTATCAACAGGAAGCAGCAATGACTAGTCTAACTTCTCCCCATTTTTTTCCCAAATGCTCCCTTGTGTCTTTGTCTAGTAACAATGTATCAGACAGCGATCAGTGTCCATTAATTTAGTCAGTCGTACATTTCAATGAACAGAAGTTCTTTGCAGCCCTAGAACTTCCCCCTTCCCACTTCATTTTCTGAGCAAGCCAGAAATTCTGTTTATACTCAACACCACATCCACCTCTCCGGACCTAGAAGCATTTACAAATCATTTAGAGTCCTAAAGGATCTCTGTGGCCAGTACATCCCATGTAGGGAGAATAAAATATACTGCAGTGTTGTAAACTACTTGGATAAGGGGCACATGCCCAGTTCCATAAAATGCATAGTTAGAGATAAGGAAAATTCCGTCTTGCTATTAGTACCTTTTAGCACAGGTCATGGAACAAAACCTCTTGGAGCCACGGAACTGGGTTGCTGGGGCGTACTTCCCACAATATTCACACTTCAACAAGTTTGCCTTCTTATCAAGCTCTAGAGAGATACAGAGATACACACTAGCTGATGATCTGAACTGAAGCAGATCACACACACAATGATTCTCCATTCCACTGCTCTTCTTCTGAAGAGACAGATTCCAAGCATGATTTTCTACTGAATCTAGTAAGCAGTTAGGTTGAGGAAGAAGCTGGGAAAAGAGAGGCAGAAGCTCCACTAATTAGGACTTCAGGATATTGAACAGAGCAGGTTTTTTCTCCTTGTCAGTACTGTTTCATTGAACAAGTGAAAAATAGCATATCCCTCACATCCTACAAAGCTGTGGGGGAAATCTTCAGAGCTGCACTCTCTGCTCTGTCCACACATCCTTCGCAGTCATTAGAGACAGGTACAGTTCAGATTCTCCTGCTTACTACTGACATAGGATGTGTTAGATCATATTAACAACAACAAAAAATATTCTGCACTCAAGAAAAGAAGATTCTAGGTCCATAGCTCGAGTCTTTTAAGAGTTAGCAGGAAGAGGTACAAGTCTATAAAGTTAATAATACAGTATCAGAGAGCAGAAATTTTCAGTAACACTAACTAGACCTCCTGGTGCTGAAACTCACCCATGGAAGCACTGTCCCCTCCCAGAGAATTGCTGGACAGGTTTTCATTCTGGCCAGAAGGAGCCTCTCCCTGCAGTGGTTTCTCAGATTCTTTCAGCAGCTGAGAACAACCCACCTGGATAGGAAGAGAATGAGTTAGACCCAATAGTAAAGGATTCTCTGTGTTCAGCATTTTTTGCAAAGTATATGCAACTCAAAATTCAGCTCAGAAGAATCTCTCTGCCTAATAGGGAAGGAGACATGCTGAACAAAGTTATTAGTCCTTCCTGACTCAGAGGCTTGGCCATTCATTCAAAGATCCCCAAATACTATCTGCCTGCAATATATATAGCCTGCAATTCCATGTAACTGCATTTCCCCTTATTTGCTTCAACTTCACTCACTCCCTGTTCAAAATGCATCTTTCCCTCACTTAAAATCAGAAAGAAGAACCTCCTTGTAATTCTTGCATAAATTATTGCTTTGAGGACTACTGGAGTAAGCAGTTGCCGTAATACTTGTTCTACTCCTTCCAACTCGTTCTCTTTAATGACACTTCTTAATGCCTTGCTTCGTTCATGACACCTCCCTCCGCTCCCTTCCCCTTCACTGTCTGCATCTCAAGCTAGAAATGCTGAGTTGGAATATGGGGAAAGATGGAAGCCCACCACCCTCCCAAGAAGCTTCTACAGCTCCCTCCCCCCAAAACAAAAAATCCCTACTGGAAAGGGCTCTGCTCCTTCCTGGATGACAAAGCCTTCAATGATGTGTGTGAGGATCTGGGGCTTGACGATGGCTTGTGGGGGTTTGGAGTCTCCCATCTGACGTGACACCATTGCCAGGTTTGGGGTGGAAGCAGAGGTGGGGGTAACTGATGCTCCTTCACTTGACGTGGTATTTGGGGTTGCAATGGCAGCAGTGTCAGAATTATCTGGAAAGTTAACAGCACAAGAGTCAGTTCCCTTTGCTCCACCTACTTCAAGTGGAATATAAGATCAGATGATTAGCGCACACAAGCAGAGCTCTCCTTTGTACCTCACCTCCAAGGCCACTCTTCTCCTCTATGTTTTTGGGGCTGTCTGTTACAGGAGAGGACCTGGCAGGCAGGAGTGCAGTGACATTGGGTGATTCCTCCTTCTCCTCCTCTGACTCTGCCTTGCGCTTTACTGCTAAGGTCTGAGATTTGCCCTGCATGGATAAAGAGGAATACGTAAGCACATAGAAGAGCTCCAAAGCAAAGAACAAAACCGACAAAAGGCAAAAAAAAAAGAAAAAAAATGTATCCTGCTCCATCATACTTGATTTCCAGCCTGGTTCTTTCTGGACATGCTTCTAACTCCTTCACAGTGCATACCTCTACTTAGGAGCATTTGCGTAGCAAGGAACAAAGCTTGACAATACTCACTACCATACCACGGACTAGGATCTGGTGTCCCAATTCATGTTGATACACTGGTATAATATCAAGACAATATGTGAACCTCAAAGGATTGTTCCAGGAAGAATGAAATGGAATGGCATTCATTTCCAAACAGGCTTTTGGCTAAATCAGATCAGTTTCAGCAAAGTAGAGTCAAAAAAGCAAGGGACACATGTTCCCTATGAGCATAATTGCCCCCACTCTAAATATGAGACAAATCTTGTGACACCTTCCTGAAGAAGCAGACGGAGTCTAGAAACAATCTCAGAAACTGGCTAAGGAGGTGTTCAAAGTGAGGTTAAATGGAGCTCTGAGCAACCTGGCCTAGCAACCTGTGTCCCTGCCACAGGAGGGGGCTTGGAACTAGATGATCTTTAAGGTCCTTTCCAACTCAAATCATTTATGATTCTATGATCTGAGTTTGTAAAGTGCTGTTGTCCCAGGGATTTAGGCAGGTCCTAACCAGACAATTCACAACAGCACAGATGAGGCTTGTGGAACGTGAACCATCTTTGTTTTCCTCTGCACAGCCTGTTGCTAGGAAATCCTCTAAGGCCTAGAGTCAGTGTCTGCTACCATATACCAAGGGGTCTGTGACACAGAAGAATCCACACTGGAGCAGTTCACGAAAAACTGCAGCTTGTGGAAAAGGCCCACATTGGAGAAGTTTGTGAAGGACTATATCCCACCGGAGGGATCCCATGCTACAGCAAGGGAAAAGCATGAGAAAGAGACAAAACCTTAAGAACTGACCATAACCCCCATTTCCTGTCCTCCTGCACTGCTCAGGGGGAGGAGGTAGAAGAGTTGGGAGTGAAGCCTGAGCCCATGAGGAAGGAAGCAGGTATTTTTTAGATTTGTTCTTTTCCAATTACCCTACACTGATTAATTGGCAGTAAATTAAATTAAATTCCCTAAATTGAGTTGGTTTTGCCAGTGACGGTAATTGGCAAGTGATTTCCACATCCTTCTCTCAACCCACAAGCTTTTCATTGTATTTTTCTCCTCATGTCCTGTTGTGAATGAGGAGTGATAGAGCACCAAGTTAGTGGTCACCCAGCAGCCAGCCAAGGTCAACCCACCCCACTGTTACGTGTGATACTTAATATGTGATGTGGACACCCGCCCCATTTTGGGGCAAGCCTTTGAATGATAACGTGGAAGAGAAATGCTTGTAGTCAGTAATCCCAGGGGTTGGATTGGAATTAGTGTTTTTGAGAGCAAAAAAGTCTCCACATCCCTTTCCCCAAACCCCTTGCCCATCCCATCCCACTGACCTGGGCCTGGACTGCGATTGGTGTCCTAGGAATGAACAAAGAGAATCCATATGCTATTCTCCTTCTCAATGGTATCACTTACTGGCAACTGGACAGACTGCATGTAGAATGCTGCTGGCATCTGAGCCACAACTGGAGAGGAAGCTGGGCTCTTCACCATGTGGGCTGTGCCTTGAACTTGTGCCAAATTCACCCCTGTGGTGAGAGGGGGAGCTTCCTGTGAGGATGCTGGAGCTGAAGATGATGATGGGGAAGCAGCATGGGTTTGGGAAACAGGCTGGACTACAGCTGGCATTCCCCGGGATGTCGGCACTGCTGCAGCAATCTGAGCCAAACCCAGCGCTTGGGCTTGGCCTGAGCCCTGCTGCCGAGTACCCACTACCTGCACTGGGATGTGTGGTGGAGGCTGCTGTGTTGCTGACATTTTGGCAGGCCCAAGCTGGGGTGGTTTGATGGGGGTGACCAGAGATTTTGACTGAATTGGAACAGGTGACTTTGTGGCTGGCTGGCAAGGACTGTCCTGCTGAAGCTGCAAATGCTGGGGTTGGGACTGCAACATAGGTTGTACCACAAGGGTCTGAGCCTGCTGCTGGTTCTGAGGTGGAGCCTGCTGCTGTGGAGGCTGAGCTTGCTGCTGCTGTTGGGTCAGAGATGCTGCTTGCTGCTGTTGCTGCTGTTGGGCCAGTTGAAGATGAGTGGCTGTGTGGAGAAGCTGGGACTGGCGGTGCTGGAACTGCTGCTGGTGATGAATGGCTATCTGCTGCTGGATCACCACCTGCTTCTGCAGATGGATCTGCTGCTGCTGCTGGATCAGTGAGTGTGGCTGAATCTGCGTATACGTTGCTACACAAACATAGAGTGAGAAAAAAACAGAGCAGAGAAGTTAGTAACGATGCAGCTGGGAACAACAAAAACAAGGCAGGCAGCCACTGCATTGGTTTGAGACATTAAGCTCCAAAATGACTGTTAACTTACTGGCAGAGGACATAAGGGACTAAATCAACTTCTCATGGTAATAGGGAGGGATAACCCCTCAAAACAAGAGGTCTCTGGGAGCCCAGAAGCTGGGAGGTGTGTGGGAAAACCTTTCACCATCAGGGCTTTCAAATGCTATTCTTGTGAAAGCCCAGTGGTCTCCAAGAGAAAAAGCAGGTGTGCACTTACCTGAGCTAATCAAGGTCTGACTGGGTGCTGGTGTAGCAGTCCTGGTCAGGTTCATGCCCACTGTTTGCTGTCCGCTGCTGTCCGTTTCGCCCTTTTTTGTGGCTGCATTCTCTGTCTCTGTCTGGCTTCCCTGACTGACAGTCACAGCCTGGGCAGCCGCTACTGGTAATGGCTGAACCACCCCTGTGCCCTTCCTTTGGCAACTGCCAGCAGCACCTGCCGAGGAGGTCTGGCTCAATCCCATTGAGGTCTGGCTCCCACCACTTGCCACCACACCCCCGGAGACACCATTGCTGCCTGTTGCTCCCTGGCTCAGGTTGAGGGACTGGCCAGCAGTGCCAGAGGAGGCCTGAGCCACTGCCACGGTCTGGCCTGTGCTGGTGGCCTGTGGTAAGCCTGAAGCCTGGGAGCTTCCTGGCAGAGCTGCCTTCTGAGCAGAGCCTTGGAGCTGGGTGTTAGTGGTGGAGGTCTGCTGGCTCCTCACAGCCAAGTTCTGCACCTAGAAATACACATACAAAACAGAATCCATTTGCTTTATACAATTACTTGCTGGGAGTTTGACAGAGCATGTGTAAGCAACACACTCTACTGGCATGCAGGCTAAGTTGATGCCTCAAGTCTCACGTGAGGAGATGGCTAACACTGCAGGGCAAAGCTCAGGCACGGCCCGTCTCAGGAAGCATATTATCCTGAACTCCCTCCTGCTCCATCTCTGATGGAAATTAAAGATCTCATGGCACTTTGTGAACAAGATTTGACGATACCATCTTTCTCCAGGCATGTTACAGCCTTCAGACCTGCCTGCCATACCATTGCACTGGTAGGCCCCAGTTTAGTGTAGCTCTAAAAGCACCGAGATACTCCTTTAAAGACCAATCATTCCTTTTCAATTTTTGTGCCACTTGCCTCCTGCCCCTGTGCAGGGCTTTCCATTCAGCAGGCCCACAGATCTACTTATGGCCAGCACCCCTTCCAATTTCACCAGTTCCTCTGTAATTTGGTGCTGCCATCCTCTGTTGTGACTTCTCCCCCAAATGCAATGTTATCTTCAAAGTTTTATCATGGCTGACTTTTCTTCAAAGAAAATGCTCCAGACAAGAAAAATATGAAGTAACTGGAAATCCCAAGAATGACTGGGATAAGACAAGGTAAATGAAAAGCCATGGCAGTTCCCTGACCCAGAGAATTACTTACAGATGAATGAAGCAACTAAGACCTTGTGGCCTGTTCAATCTTTGGCATCTTTACAAGAACAAATCAGCTGGGTGAAGGAATACTACCTCTGGCAAAGACATTAAACTGAAGAGTAACTGAAAACTGGACATAGTTCTTTTTGCACAAGCACAGTCATAAAACTGTGAAGATGGGATTGATCCAGCCAGTGGCTCACATCAGAAATTTTCAGCGGAAATTAATCCCATCTCTGAAGGCAAAAAGCAAACATGAAAATATGGTGGCAAAAGAAAACAGAATCTCCTGCTTACACAGGGACACGGGTTGGGGATAAAATAGAGATGATCTGCCTTACAGGGACAGCTTAAGACAAAGACCAGAGTGTGGGATGACAGAAAGCAGGGGGAAGGGGGGTGTCACTGGGAGGGGTTGTCACTGACCTGGTCTGTGTCTGCATGGACCCCAGGAGACTGAGTGGGTGGTACTTCCTGCTGGACAGCAGCCACAGCCCCGTTGGGCATCAGGATGAGTTGGGAGGCAAGAGGCACATTGCGACCCAGGGTCCGGTTTACCTGCAACAGGTTCCCCAGCTGTGGCTGTTGAGGATCAGATGATGTGGAATGAAAGGAATGGAGGGGAAGAGAAAAAGAAAGACAACGAACCACAAGCAAACATTACAAAGCAACACTGGGCTGCAATGTCACACACTGCAAAACCACCAACCCTCCTTGCACTGTAACACTGAACCTAACCCTCAGGAGCAGGAAACTGAGAACAGTTTCCTCAAGGAAACAAGTACTCTTCTATCAAACATGGGCCTGGGCCAACTCCCACAGACTGCCTGAGGCTGGCTAAAAAACTGAGGTATGATTGAATTTTC